CATTAGGAGAAACCTTTTCACTGTGAGGGTGATGGAGCCCTGGCACAGGCTGCCCAGAGAGGTTGTGGAGTCTCTGGAGACTTTCAAAACCCACCTGGATGCGTTCCTGTGGGATCTGCTCTCTTAGGTGATCCCGCTCTGGCAGGGGGGCTGGACTAGCTCATCTTTTGAGGTCCCTTCCAACTCCGAACATTCTGTGATTCAGTGAGACCTGGTTTTGGTCAATGCTGACTTTTTCAGTCAGGTATTAAGAATTAGGCGCTCTGTGTTTCAGTCTGTAATTGGAGTATTGAAGCTTGCATGAGGAAATGGGAATGCTTAAGTGTTTTATGTGTCCAAACATAGAATGTCTTGTCCTTTCTTATCTGAGCCTGGTGAGTGTTTCTGCAGCTAAGTGGGACCCTTTTGCCCTTAGGACAGGCTGTAAGCTTTGAGGTGATTCTTCAGAACTGCTTTTGTCCAAGCTTGCCAGGTGGGAGCAGTGGGAAGGGAGCTGAAATGAGGACTAGCAGTAAAAGTCACTTGAAAAAGCCAAGTCCTATGTAGAGGAAGTATAAAGGGTGCTTAGAAGCTGAGAGAATAAGCAGCTTCACTTCCACTGCCATGAGTGTCTTGTCGTGCTTGGATGAGTGGAGGTAATTAAGGGGGAGTTAATATAAAGAGATTTAACAGAGGACTGTAGATGGCAGTAGTCACGATACAGTCTGTCAAAAGTGAAACATAAACCTGGCCAGCTGCATGTCTTTTTGGTTTTTGCTGTGAGCAAATAGTTTGTAAGACAGCTGACTCAGTCCTTGACTGGATGTATGTCTTAAATGGATTGGCCTCTTGTCTTTTCTCCTCTAGGGCAAATGCACCAAAGTTAAACTTTGGAGGCACTGCTGTAACTCAGGCTACTGGAATCACTGGAGGCTTTGGATTTGGTAGCTCTGCACCAACCAGCGTGTCCTCGAATCAAGCAGCAGCCCCTTCGGGCTTTGTGTTTGGATCTGCTGGCACCACCACGACCACGACCGCCACTGCTCAGTCCGGGACAACTGGAGGGTTTAGTTTTTCCAGCGGAAGCACAACTCAGGCTGGAACGGCCAGCTTTGGCATTGGCACTGCAGCTCCGCAAGCAGCTCCAGCAGGGTTGACCTTTGGAGCAGCACCTGCGGCTGGCATGCCACCTTAGGAGCTGCCACTCAGTCGACAACCCCCTTCAGCCTTGGGGGGCAATCCTCAGGTGAGTGCCTGAGCTTGAGATGGAAGCTGTAGTCAGGAAGCTGTCAGCACAGAGGGCAGCTGGGGGTGGTGTGAAGGTTCTGCAGCCTCCTGCTTCCTCTGCTGATGTGAAAGGAAGCAAGTAGCAGGAATCAGTGCTTTTCCTGATATGCTTGTCTAGGGTCCTCAATGATGAGTGAAAATTGATATTTAGCCTTTGGAAGCCTGTTTTCATGGGAAGTAGATGTCTCCAACCTACTCTGTTACTGAGCTTGTTCTGATCATTTATTTTCTTGAGGCCAATAAGTAAAAGGGTAGACTGATAAGTAAAAGGGTAGACTGGAAAACAGACAGAACCCCCCATCTGTTATGACTCCCCAGCAGGTGTGCGTGAATGCATTTGGTTCTTTGCATTGCAGTGATGGGCAGAGTTTGCCTATGTGTTGCAATGAGCTAGTGAGTTTGTCTCTTGTCTAGGCCAGTCTGGCCAAGCAAAGAGTGTACTTGGCGAAGTTTCCTAGGACAGCACCTTGGTGTGGCTGATCTTTGTGACAGATGACTGTTTACCTTCCCAGCAGCAGGAGCCTGCCCACTCTTGTAGAGTCTGGCAAAAGTTGTGTTTGCAGCTTTTGTTTTCCTTGTTGGTGACAGTACAGGCCCTGGATGGAAGGTCTTCAGCCTTGGGACAAGGGTGACATTCATCTGTGTTAGAATCATTATTGAAAGCCTTTTTTACCTAAGGAGCTTGTTAGCTCTAGTTCATTCCCTGGATAATACAGAGTATTTGTTACACTGAATATTAATATTTTTCTTATATGCTTACTGCTCCTAACTTGACTGTCACTGTCATCAGTGGAAATTATAGTGTCTCTGTATCAAAAGGTTTGTCTTTTCCTTTACCCTTCTTGTTCTAGGGCTAAACTTTGGGTCATTGCCTTCAACAGCAACCACCAGTGCACCCACGGCAACGCTGACCACTAGTACGAGCCAGGGACCCACTCTGTCCTTTGGAGCTAAACTTGGAGGTAGGAAGTGATTTTATGAAATAATTGGTCAAGACTCAGAATCTACTGTCCTTCGGAGAATAGTTTTTGAAATTGGAGTCTGGAAATGGGCTAGAAGTTTTTGTCACTGTGGTTTTGTGATGGTATCCGTAATCCATGACGGTTCATACAGCCGTTGACCTTAGTATCCTGTATTTCTTACCGTGTCCCACGTGCCAGATTCTGTTCTGTACTTGTTGCTGGAGGGTGGTGGAAGGTTTGAAGGGTAGACTGGAAAACAGAGAGTTGGGGGAGAGTAAGAGGAGCAAAAGTTTAAAATTCTTACATCTGTAACAAACTGGTATGTGTAGGCAAATCTGCATTGCTTTCTCAGCATGGTTGTACGAGGTCGATTGTTTTTCTATTTGTAGTAACATCCACAGCTGCTACAGCTGCCTCTACCACCACGACTTCTGTTCCTGGTTCGACGGGGCCTACGCTGTTTGCGTCTATAGTGAGCTCTTCTGCACCAACGTCATCTACCACCACAGGTCTCTCACGTAAGTCACTAGATACAGATTTTATCCATTGGGGGAGTAAATGAGCTGCATGACTGGCGGTACCTGTCAGCAGTGGAGCTGTAGATACTGTGGGTAATACTGAAGAATTCAGAAGGCCAGTTCTTGTTTGCCACCCTCAGTTTTTGTGATTTCCAGTGAGCTGTCTTCAGTGGTGAGGCACGGAGGGATTTTGTTCAAAGCAAAGCACACTTCAGAGTGCGCAAGCTGTGAGGTGCAGTTCTAGCCCTATGTGAATTCTGTGTTTCTCTGTCTGTAGTATTGCCGCAGCTGCACTTTCTAGTGATATTTTAGCTGCTGTCTCCAGATCCCAGTGGCTTGAGCGTGATTATGCCTGCCTTTGACTCTTACATTAGCTGTTTGCACTTCTTTAAGAACAGTGACATGTGATAGTGGAGGTCCTGAAGACACAGATTCATGCAGCTGTATGTTTGCAAGTTCTTCTGGTAGTAACTGGCAAGCTTGTTCTTGAAAATAATTTTTATGACGGGAAATCACATCTATTTTCTGATAACTTTAAGGCAGTAGCCCAAGACAGTCCTAACAGCTTTTTTTCTCAGCCTGCAAGGTTTTGGTAGCTCTACAATATGTTGCTACTCTAGTTCCAAAGCTGACCTTCATCTTGGTGTTTTAGGAATGCTTTTAAGCTACTGGTCATTCTCTCTTTATCAGGATGTCTGAAAATTTTTGTTCTTAGATGATAATAGGTGGGTTTCCAGGCAACTGAGCTGTGACCAGCTTGTTTCCTGTAGCGTGTGCAATACCTTTAGCAAGTAAACTTGTGCAGAGATTGTGTTTCTTGCATGCCAGTGTCCAGTACCCTTTTCTTATTTTAGCATTTGATAGCACTGAAATGCTAGATAGTTCAAAAGAGGGAAAGATAAGTGACAGTAGCTTTGCTACTGGGTTGATAAAGTTCGCTGGAAGAATCCTGGAGCATTCTGGCTGTTTCATAGCTTCAGCCTTGGTTTTTTTCATGATGTGTCTGGATGATCCTTCCTCTAAACGAGTGATCCTGGTTAATACAAACAAAGACCAGATGGAAATGAGTGAGCAGGCAGGGTAGAACTCTTCCAAGGGATGCTGTATTTAATGGGTCACAAACTCTTAATGTTGTCTTCTGTTTGCAGTTGGTGCCCCTTCCACTGGGACAGCCAGTCTTGGAACGCTTGGGTTTGGATTAAAAGTTCCTGGAACAACAGCTGCTGCAACAAGCACTGCCACTAGTAAGAACTAGATACTGAAATAGCACAGTATTTCTTTTGATGATCCTCCTTCTCCATCTCCCCTAATGCACAGCTACTTATGATTTTTGAGAGCCCGTCCCCAGCAAAGGGACTTTGGGTGAGGGAAGGTCAGTGTCATTTGAAGTTCTTGCCTGGAGCAAGTAAAGCAAGTAATGAGCTGCTCCTTCTCTAGCCTGCAGAGAAGACACATGAGTGCTGTATTGAAGTGGAAACCTGCAGTGGAATTTGCTGCTGCAATGTTGAGAGTCTGGATTGAACATCCTTTCCTGGGTGCAGTTCTTGGTCAGTTTTCAGTGTGATAACATGGATGCTGCTCATCTCTCCATGTCTTTCTGACACTTGTTTTTGGAGTGACCGTGAGGAGTTGGAGCTCAGTAACGTGTAATAGATGCTCTTAGCTTTGTGAAAACATAGGCCTGCCTTTGCAGAAGATGCAAGTTCTGATATTAAAACACAAGGAGGTTGAGTTGAGGTGTGAGGGCTAATGCTGTGTTTCTGCTGAGGTTCAGTGCAGGCTGCGAGTTTCTCATTTTACTAGAACTACTAGCCAGGCCTTTATGGTCTGCTGCTTTGTGTCAGGAGGTGGGATTTGCTTCCTGTCTGTTCAGAGGGGGCTGTTTGAGCTCACAGAGCCCTGTTCTGGACCAGCTCTTCGTTTGTTAGACAGCAGATGTCCCCTCTTCTCTTGCTTGACTGGCATCTCTTCTTTCAGGCACTACTACTGCTTCTGGGTTTGCTTTGAATCTTAAGCCATTAACTACGACCAGCACCATTGGAGCTGTAACTTCTACAGCTGCCACAACCACAACAACAACCAGGTGAGTATTTTGTTAGAAGCAACTATTTCCTGACTGGAGTGAGAGGCAATATTAGTGCTGGTGCCTGGTGGAGGAAGGGGACTTGTTGTGTTTCTCTTTTTGTTTTTTTTGACCTTTTGTTCTGTACCGTCTCGCACTTGCTCTCAGTGCCCCTCCTGTGATGACTTATGCTCAGCTGGAGAGTTTGATAAACAAGTGGAGCCTGGAACTGGAAGACCAAGAGAAACATTTTCTCCACCAAGCTACACAAGTTAATGCCTGGGATCGGACACTGATAGAGAATGGAGAGAAGGTAAGGTGACATCCCACGTAACCTGGTTTTGCTTGCTTGGATCCTTAAAAGGCCTTCGGTGTTACAGATGCAGCAAGCCAGCTTGTGGGGCTTTCTGCTCGTAAGAAAAATAGATGTGAATTACATCTGGATGCTTGTGAAAGACTCACTGTGTTTCTGTTCTGGTCTATAGGCATTGAAACTTAGAAGCGTGTTCCATGAGTTTACACGATGCTAACAAGTTGCCTTAGGGTGGAGGTTTCAGACCTCCATTATCCAATGTTGGGTCTCTAAATCTTTATGTAACTGTTTCTTGTTTTTCTAGCAGGCACTTGTATGGTGCTGGCTTTCTCAGTTCCACTGTTGTTCTTGTATGAGTTGCCTTTTGAATTCTCATAGCCTAATTAAGTGTCTTCTGTTTGCAGATTACTTCATTACACAGAGAAGTAGAGAAAGTGAAGCTTGATCAGAAGAGGTACGAGACTATGAACACTATTTGAGATGCCTTTTGGTTCTGTTTTGCATCTTCTCGTGCTGTGGTATGGCAGACCTGGAAGGTGTATAACCTTTCAGTCGAGTAGTTAACATTTCTTTCTTTCAGACTGGATCAGGAACTAGACTTCATTCTGTCACAGCAGAAAGAGCTTGAAGACTTGTTGACTCCTCTGGAGGAGTCTGTGAAGGAGCAGAGTGGGACTATCTACTTGCAGCATGCAGATGAAGAACGGGAGAGGACGTAAGACAAAAATTTGCCTGGAACATGTGATGATCAACCTAATGTGGTGATGATCAGTCAACAAGAAGTAGAGTCGGGATGCATGACAATATTGATCTGTCAAAGGCCTTTGTCAAATACGTAATCCCGTTTTATGCATGGCAACTTAGATTTTACACATTAGAAACAGGAGGATTGCAACTGGAAGCTCTTGAATGAGCGTGAAAAGCTCTTTGGATGTTGGTCTAATCAGCTGCCTGGGAGAAGGTTACTGACTTTGGCATGATATGTGAAAATTAGTGATAGAAGCAGTGAGAGCTGACTGTACTATGTGTGGCTCCTTGTAAGCCTGAAGTGTTGAATCATAGCAGGGTAATTAACAGAAGTGTTTGTCTGGTTCAGGAGCGATAAATCTTAAAGAATCCAGACTAGCTGGTTCCTTCAGTTGTGACAAAACCTTCCATAAAGCCCTCTGTACTATTGGCTATCTGTCTCCTTGTATGTATCAAGAGAAAGAGGTTAGGAGTTTGTCTGTGTGATAGAATGTCTCTCGTAGTGCTCTTCCCATATCTGTGTTGCCTTGCTTGAATGGCTTGGAAGTGAATTCTGCTTGCCTGAAGTGAGTGTGACCAGGAGCAGGTCTTCCAAAGCTCACTTTTAAATATTCTGACCTTGGTTCCCTTGTGTTTTGCAGCTATAAACTGGCTGAAAACATAGATGCTCAGTTGAAGCGTATGGCACAAGATCTGAAGGACATCACTGAGCACCTGAATACATCAAGAGGCCCAGCAGACACGAGTGACCCGGTAAATCTGAGCTTTGTATTTTTTTTTATGTGTGTGTGTTGGTAAAGAGGCAAAGGATATTCAACAGTTCTAACTCATTGTTTGTCCAAATGTGGAAACTCCACTGCTTGTGCTTTCGATCTTGGAAGGGTATTTTATTTTGTCCTTGGCTTGGTTTTCTTGTGATAAAACCTGCAATATAACAGCACAAAAGCCAGTTTTAAACACATACTTATTCTGCTGTTCTGTTAATACTTTTCGAAGTACCTCATTCTGGTATGAACTCTTTTGCTTGTTGTCTAATTTTTGCTCAGATTACAACTTGTTTCAGAGGCATTTCTTAGTGTCAATAGGAAGAAAAAAAAGTCGATTGCATTATATTCCAAAGGCAGGGGTGGGGGCAGGCTGTCTTTTAGTGCTTTTCTTTTTTTTCCTGCCTTGTCACAAATGACTTACACCTTCTTTCTGCTCAGCTTCAGCAGATCTGCAAAATACTGAATGCGCACATGGATTCGTTGCAGTGGATTGACCAGAACTCAGGTGAGAGTTGCCTTGCAGCTTTTTGTGAATGTAAATAGAAAGCATGTAGCACGCTTGCACATGTTTAGTGAACATAAATGAATTCCTGAAGATCCCCGAGGGGTCTTCTCCACATCTTCACTGACATTGTCTTTTCTGTGCTCGAGTTCTGATGTGCATTAAGCACCTCTGCTGAGAAGTAATTCCTGGCAAGTGCCAGTGTTTTGCAAAAAATGCTGTGCTTGAAGCGCATCAATGCAAAGCAAAGGACTTGAAAACTTTGTGACATCAGAATTGTGACTTTACAGAATGTGTGCAAAAAGAGCAACCTGTTTACATTTTCCTAGGAAGGAGACCCATTTTTTTCCTCTCTTGTTTGATACTGAAGAAATTGTCTTATCTGTTAATAACGATACTTTTTGCTGGGAGATGTACATCTAAAGAAACAGGTCAGCTTCAGTTCACCTTCAGACAAGAAAGAAGTGATAAGCCTAAGAAACTGCGGTTTTTACAAATGGTGAATGTATCTCTGTTGTATGAAAAAAGTGCTAAAACACCCCACAAACCTGAACTAAGACATCTGGACCGTAGGTAGCATCAGTTCTGTTTCCTGTGGAGCCTCTAGGGCTTTTCTGTGATAGCTGGTGATCTTTTCTAGTCGTTCTCCACACCAGTGGCTCTTCACTTGTCTGACTTGCTAAACAATTTATGTGCAACCGCGGCGCACGAGTCCAATTACCGTTACCCTCGGCTACTGCAACTGAGTGGACTTGCTGAATGTGGACACAGGGTGGTGCTGCTTCCTCAAGTGATGGGAGTGTTTGGACACAACCGCTTCCTGAGAGAACCACAATGTTGCTGTTACTCGAGTCTGTGTCAAGTGAGAGAGATCTGTGCAGGCTGCCATTTTATGCCATAATCATTTTGCACAGTGTTTTTTTTGAGAAGTGAGAAACTGAAATGTCACTTAGCTTGTTCCAGGAAGATTCTGGGTTTGGCACGCTGTACCAAAAAAAAACCCCTAACCTGGAATATCTGTCTCCAGGCCACTGGCCTTAACCCTGTTGAAAAGCTGCTGATAAGCTTTCAAGGATTGAAATGAGAAATTGGTTTAGGCTCTGTGTGTATTGTGATGCACTTAAGCCACTCATCAATCATCAGCTTTATGTGCCTCCAAGTTTAATTGTTTGCAAGTAACAGATGATCTGTGGTGAGACTGCAAGTGGTCTGCAGCTCTTCCCTGCGATTGTGTTGTCTTTTCTGTGTTTACAGTTAAAAGCTTGCGTGGCTGTGTAGTAGCCTGCAAGAAAATTATGTACATACTTAGGTTGTGTGGTTCACCTGCAAGTTGTGTAATTCAAAGCGAGTTTGGCAGGAGGTGGGTAGGGGAAAAACTGGTTTATAGAGAAAGTGCTTTTCCTCAAACTCACAGTTGCTGCTAAGGATGGAGTTGCTCTGCTTTCTGATGCCGTGCCCTGAAACTACAACAACCTGGCACGGCAAAAAGCATCAACAACCTGTGTCGAGGCACTTCCGATTCTGCCTGCCCATCCATGGGTACCTCAGAATGCTTCTCAGACAGGTGTCTTTACCTTGGAGGGTTATCAGTGCTTTGTGTTGGGTTTTCCTACTTCGTGACTGTCAAAAGGTTTTTCTTTTTCCTTCTACAGGCTAAACTGTTCTGAGGCGATTGTTAAGATTAATGATTTCTTTCTCCCACAGCTGTGTTGCAGAGAAAGGTAGAAGAGGTGACAAAGGTTTGCGAGAGCCGCCGCAAGGAGCAAGAGCACGGGTTTCGGATCACTTTCGATTGAAAGACTCAAAGATTAAAGGCTTAACCTAAAATCTCCACAGAAAACAGAGGTTGCTGGGGACCTGGGACTCAAATTATGATCTGAGTTTGTTTCTTTTCTTGCTGTAAGATTTACTGTTCCCAAGCCAGTCTTTGCAGTGTCTGACTGGAATTCACTCGCTCTGGTCTGAGACTGAATGAAGTTTGTGCAGAAAGTATGCGCTCTTTGTTCTTTATAACTGCGTGTAGACTGGTGAGATAACACACAAATGATGCCCTTGAGGGATTTAAACATTGAATATGTTCAGTTTGGACTTTGTCAGCTTTTATTCAGGTCCTTGAAGAGGTGGTTTAATGAAGAGCTGCCCTCAGAAGGAGCCGCAGCAGTCTGAGAAATTCAAATTCCTCACATGGCTCGCTGGAGTTTATGTTTAAATTAGGTGTGCTTCCACTTTTGGAAAGTGGGCCTTGTTTTCTGTACTTTTGGTAATAAACTGCTGTTGTGCTAGTACCTGTAAGCAAAATTTTTTATGCAATTAAAAAAGTCATTAGATGTGCCTGTAGAAAAATGATCCTTGTGTGGTGGTTTGATGTAGCGCAGCTTGTTTATTTGTGAGGGTGCGGGAAGGAACGCAGCCAGCAAGTCCGCTGCGAAGGTTCTGAAGAGACGTCGCTGCTTTTTGGTCAAGCATGAGTACAATGTGCACCGACAGGGGGAAGTGAATGATCGCACGGTTGGCAGAACTGCCCTCATGCTCTATTTTCTAGTGCTTCTACTCTGCTAAATGCTGGAGGGGTGCAAATAATGTGTAATGGGCTTTCCTTTGTGTTTACCTTCCTCTGCCTGCACACCATTTGCCTTGTCTTGTGCATTGTCCCCTGGGAAAAAAGGGAAGGGCCTGTTTAATAGCATCATCTCTGACTTTAGTGAGTTAAAACTTGTGAGTTGCTCCTTTTTTTTTTCCTGTGTGCAGATTTTGTGGTCTTCAGAGGAGTGAGAGGAGTCTCAATGATGTTGTAGAGGAGGCTGTTGAGAGACATGTAGGAAAACCTCGCAGAGGGCTTGTGTAACTGCCTCGAGGGGAGCTTGGAGTAACTGAGCATGGAGTAACTGAGCATTTGCTGAGGCCTAAAGTAAACTGGGTGACGGCTCTTATTGGTGTGAGTTAAACTGAACCAATTGTCTGTGATTTTAGTGCACTTCCTGAAGTCAACAGCAGGTTGTTGCTACTAGAGGTGATAAGGCCGGATGCGCAGCTACTACCAGAGCTGGGGTGCAGAAAGGCTCTTGCTTATAGTCGCAAGAGTCCCCGCTGGCTCTTGTGTGCCACGGCGGGGGTGCCGGGAAGTAAAAGGGTCACAAGGCAGTAAAAGATCGCTCCTCTGGGTCGGAATGGAGAGGTCAGGTGACCAACCGGCGTCCTGCCCTCCACAGGTGTCACCGTCAGTATAAACAGGAGGGATCGCGGGGGTTAAGTCTCCCTCAGGAGCCGGCGTCCCAAGAGGCCTCTCTCCTGCCTTTGA